CAAGCCGTTATTAAAACCCAGTTGATATAAGATATTTGAGAAAATAAATCTATGGACCAAGTTAACTGTCCATTGCTCTCAATTGGCTTTTAGCTCTATCCTATTATAAGTGAAATCACCAAATATCTTCCTTGAATTGCACTTGGTTAGGTCTTTTGAAATGACACTATAGAAACTGTGGGCATTTATTATTATGTCCTTGGCTTTTACAGAGAGTTAATATAAGTAATCATATACTGAGAATATATCTGCATCTTCTAATGACATCAAAACTATCACATGGTCTCAATATTGTTCATTGCTCCAAATAAAAACAAGCCATATGATAAATTTTGCTAGAGTATACTGAGAAAGAGCTGTGTATTTTTTTTACTGATTAATATGTAACAATTATGAAATTCAATTCATTATCCTTTTTACCTTTCTCCCAGGAAATTGAAATATACATATTTATATTCAATTCCAATACATGCTCATGGCCTAAGTTTCTGTAACTTTTCTCTGTAGTATATGTATTCCTTTATGCAATTTATTTATATGTGTGTTTTTGTCACAAATTATTTCCACTTTTTTGAAGTAGAAATAAAGAGAAACTGAAAGAAAGTGCTTCTCTCTTCCCTTCGGTTAATCCCAGAGATAAACTACTTTTCATGATCTTGCTCAAATAAAACCAATTCCATGAAGACATTTTTGACACTTCAAGGACAGCCTGACTCCATCTTCTACCTCCCAAGAAAATATTTGGATCATCATATAAAATTTAATATCTTATTATATACTACTCCCAAGTATATGGTCACATTTAAAGGTTTTTATTTGTCTGTTTTAGGACTTAGAGCCAAGCAAAAATTAAAACAAGGCAAAAAAAAAAAAAAAGACATGGCAAATACCAAGAGGGATGACAAAACATTGTGCCACATCAGAAATTAATATGTTTTCTTTTTAAATCATAAGCATTACCTAGACTTTACTAAATCTCCTTGCTGCTGAACTGCTCAGATTCAAATATGAAAAAAAAAATCTTGTTTTAAATGATTTAGCCCACATGGCATTATAAAGTAAGCTAAGTGTAATTCTTCAAATACAAGTAGATGCACTTCAGTTTTTTTTTTCCCAGAGAAGGGGGGTATAGCCATTAGATTACTAAATATAACATTAGACTCCTAAAATTTGCCAAATCACATGGGCTAGAATTATGAACACATAATTGCCTCTAAAATATCCATATCAAGATAAAAGTAACATTAAATTTCCATCTGATAAAAGTCGTGTTTGCCTAAATTAGTTCCTAACAGTGGTATAAAACTTTTTCATTTTCTCTAAAAATAACTATTAAATTTATTCTAAATTTAAAGAGGCAGTTGAGATATATTTTTAACACAAAATTAGTTCATGTATTTTTTTCATTTTTGAGATTTGAAAACATATCGTTTATATAGTTTCTATTTTCAAAAGTGTTAATTGCACAATATCCCATCCTAATAGTGAACAATTTATTTCTTATTTCCTTCCATTTCTTGTCCATAAGCACATATATTTAGCCCACTTACGACCATACTACTCAACATTATTTCCCTCCTTTAAGGACATCTAATAAAAACATTTCTCCTTAAATTCCAATTATGAAAGTTTTATTAACTATGTACTGTAATACTAAAAATAATTCTTTTAACAAATATTTTTTAATGTATTTTAAAGAACTACACAACAATGTGCTAAATAACAGAGGATGAAGAGTTAAAGCGCTGAGGAAAAAGAATGTATTCAACCAGAAGTGAAAGAAAGTCTAAATGTTCACTGGATGGGTGAGACTAAATGAGATGCGGTTACAGAGACCTCTCAGACAAAACAGGGGAAGTGAGATTAGCAGGCAGAGCCCTGTACCCTTTCTTCAACCTTATTAGCAGCTTTCCTTATGATCACTAATAGCATTTCCAATACTATAATAGTGATAGTCTATGTTACCATGCCAAAGGAAACCACAAACGGTCTCAGTTGACAAACTAACTCCCACCTGTTCCTAGGTCCATCAGAGCAATGTTATAATACGAGATAGCTCTATGTCACTTCTCCTTTGCAGTGAACAAAATCTTTTTTTCAACATGAAATGCTTTAAACTGGAATCTTGCCTCTAGATAGCTGTATGAATTTTATTACTAAAACATTATCACATTTTTACTTATTGCTAAAACAAACAAACAAATAAAACCTATAATATTTCTCCTCTGGGATGGCAAATTCAAATCAACACTAATTACATACCTGTTTCAGACATCTTGATTTTTTTTCTCTCAATCTTCAGAGAGCAATAGTCTTCTAATTAGCCAAATTATACCTTGAACCCCCCAAATTCATATCCTTTACACCAAAGCATCCAAATCAAAACACAGCTCAGGATTTCCTCCAATGTGGGACCAAATCTTATTTTCTACTAATTTCCAACACTCTCCCAAATGAAAACGAAACAGCAATACTTTTGGATCCCATACCCAAGAAACCTTGGCTTACCTTGTTACCATTAGACAAATTATTAACAACAACAAAAACCCTATAGTCTTTATTGTTGTAGATCTTTATTGTTGTCAGATGAGCTGTTGTTCTAGTTGTGGTATACTATACATGCAAAGTGTGCTGAAACATATGTTTCAATAATTTATTTCTCATGAATTAATTCATTTAAGTATATTTTCACAAGGCCCAATACACATTTCAGGAACAAAGTGACCAGGATACATACACCTACCTGTTCCAGAACCAGTGTTCCAAGATGCACCTAAAAATGTTTACTAACAGAGTTTTGTACTTTATCATATTGAGAGATATAGAAAGGACACCTGGTTCTTAATGCTGATCATCAGTATATGATGTGTTTAAGAGCAACAAAGGAGCCAACTGAAAGTTAAATCCTAAACTGCAGTAGAGCAGAACGAATATTTAGCTATCACTGAGAAAATCATCCATCATCTACAGCAACTCTGCTTGCCGTTATACAGACCAAGCAATTGACTGATTTCTTCATTTTTTAGCTATTTAGTCTACTGTCCTACAATTCAGTCATTCAGAGCATGGCATTTAGAGAAAGGATATGAACATAAATATAGGATTAAAATTGGATCAAAGTCAGGTCCTTGTCAGTTATACATAAAAAAATGGGCAAAGCTTTATTAATGTAACAGTTCATTTTATGGAATCTTACTTCTTGTGAGTAGAACTAATAACAGAATGAGGCAACATAAGGTATGGCTAAAAGATTTTTTTTAATAAAATAAATACATATGATTAAGTGGATAGTCAAGTCCTTGAAAACATTGCTGTATAGAATGTGGCATTTAATTTTAAATTTTCAATTGGCAAACTGGTCATTGCTTCAGGATTTTTAACTTGAGAAAGTCAGAAAATATGAGAATAATAATAAAAACAACTGAACTATAAATAATACTATAATTAAAGTTAAATGTATTAAAATATTGAAAATTCTCATATTAAAGTCTTACATAAAAACCAAATGACAACATTTATATTTAAAATTAAGATGATTATGAACATCTCTTTATACATCTTTCCGATACACAGTTTTCATTGGTGGGAAACCATTCATTCCTGCCCACTATGAAATTATAAGAACATCTGAAGCAATCAATGCCTGATTAGATACTATGTGGAACTAATGTGTACTTGAAAAATGTTACAGAAATATTTTACACCTACATTTGCCATGGTATATCTATTGTCCACCAAACTCCAAAATCAAAATAACAAAGTAGAAAAATATCAAGATTTCACTTTGCATTGCTAAAATATCTCCTTCCCCAAGACATACAAACTTGATTAACAAAAGCTATTCTTTTTTTATATATTTTGAGATTGACACGAACATAGGCTTATAATTACATAGAAGTAACTACCACTGAAGAGGAAAAAAAACTGATTCTCAATGACCAAAATATATGATATGAACAATTATTATAAAGGAAAATATAACTTAAATTCCTTTTTCAAAATCTTTTAGATAATGAAAGTGGGAGGTGCCTTTTTGTTGCAAGTAACAGTATAAATTATATGCCTTTAAAAAGCGTATAGTATGTGATAAGACTTTGAGAATAATTCAGATTAAAAAGATGAAATCTTTTGTGATAAATTGTACTCTTTTAGCAAATACTCTTAACTAAAATACCATAACAGAAGTGTCTTATTAAATGATAAAGTAATTTTACTCCCAAAATTGTGCCAATACTATAAAAATAAACTTTTACACGTAGAATATCAAGTTTCTCTTTTAATAATGGGTTATTACATAAAACAATACGTGTATTTCAGAGTACTTGATAAGTTATTTTACAAATAATATTTCCCTATAATTTTCTTCAAAACCAAGGATCTCCAATTTGATTTTGTTTTACATGTGTATACATTATTGACTTGAACTCTTTATCACCTTATAAAATCAACACACTTTCCAAATCATTCAGTGTAAATATACTTAGACAAATATTTCTAATTATCTGACAAATTTTTAAAAAACCCAAACCTGTACCACAGTGACAGACAATGCTTCCCCAAACCCAGTCCATACACATATTCTCAGAGACTTATAAACTTGTTTCTAAACTCATGTCAAATTTCAGGCAATTTTATGGCATTGTAAAAAAAAAAGTGGAAGGAAAAATTTGTCCAGGGACTAATTCTTCTTTAGAAAGGCCCTGACATTGTTGCCTTTCACAGTGCTATAAAGTGAAACCAGGAAAAACATCACTCAACAATGTAAATAATTTCACTACCTTTTACCTTCAAATTTTAAAATCAACCCTAACTGTCTTCCATCAAGTAATTTACCAACACACTTACAGAATTTATTGAAAATATCAAAAATTTTGGTTCAAAGAAAGTCAACAAGCATAGAACAATGAATGAAACAAAGCAAAGCAAAACAAAACAAATCAAAACAAAACTATCCCATACTTCATGGATTAATGGTGAAAAGAAAAAAAGAGACTTCTTACCAAGTACCCCAAGTCGATAGTTGACTGTGATGACGATCACGTTGCCATAACTTGCCAAGACACTCCCATCATATAAATTTCCAGTACCTTCCATATATGAGCCACCATGTATATACACCATCACTGGTTTGGGACCCCCACTGTCCCGAATATCTGAAAAACAAACGGTTGGCAAATTGTCCTTATCCTCAAAAAACACACACAATGAAGCAGAGAATACATTTTTTCCATTTTAGGGACAAAAGAGCATGATTTTAATATAGTTCTTTAAATTGCTGTTTTGTTAAAGTGTTTCTTCAGCAACTCGTTTTACGAGCTATTGTGAAAAGAGCAATAGATATTCACTGTTTTCTAGCTAAAATTTTGTTTAAAATTATAAACTGAATTACAAAACTTGGACAAATTCAAAATGGGTGTGAATTTTAGTGCTTTTTGATTGATTTCTAAAGTGACCGTAGAATAAAAAGAAAGAATGATAATGGGTCTTAGAACTATTTTTTTTTAAATGTCATAGACCTCATACGGAATTTATGAGCCATATGCTAAGGACAATGTTATCACTGCTATTGTGAGTAAAACACTCTGTTTCTCCATTTCTTATTTACTATAAAGATTTTATTGAATGCATCATGATTATATTGAATAATTTATGCTCTAATTTGCGAACATAATTACAACACTGTGTTTTAGGTTGCAAGAAGTTTCATTTCACTACTCAAGTACCAACTGGCAGATGAATGTTTAGGCAGTAAAGTCTACACTTTTATTGTTGTACGAAGGGTACTGTCACTTAAATGATATTTTTTCGTTAAGTCTGGGTTATCTGCTCACTCCACTAACCCTACCCTCTGGAAGAAGAAAACAAACTAAATTATATTTTTCACCTCTTTGTGTAACTATTGTACTCTTCCTAGTCCCATTTTGGCTCTATGATTTTGTCATGTAGACATAAAATAGAATACAGCTAAGTCCAGGTGTAAAGTACCCAATTTTAGAATGATGTTAAAGTGATTTTTACAGCTCTGACTTTTAATCAACTGTGTTTGCTTTACTAAGATACTTTCCCCAAATTTTGTAGTTTTCAATAAGGATTTAGAAATAATATGTAAGGGAACCATAACATAATTTTAACTGGTATTAAAAATGCCTTAATTTCTAGAGAAATAGGTGCTTAACTTTATATTGGCAAACATGGTTTTAACTATTGAATACTGAAATATTATATATGTATGTATATGATTATGAATACATACATCAAACATTACTATTCTATAATAGCCCATTATGTCTTCTACCCACAATTGAGACTAAATTAGATCAAGTGTATTTTCTTCTTGTTAATGCCAATATTAAAAAACATCATTTAAAAGTATAGTTTTGTTCCTTTGCTTTTGACATTTTTTATCAAACTTAGATCTCCTACATCTTTGCAATTGAGGTTTCAGCTTTCAGAATAGACTAATATAGTACAAATTCATTGAAAAATCTGGTGATTATTTAGATGCTGTTTTATGTTTCTTGTGAAAAGGGTGACTAATATAAATGCCTCAATTTTTCTATTGTAATAATAAAGTCATTTCCTTAAATTAAAAATCCTTTTAGGATCAGGAATTGCAGCTCAACTTGTTTGTCCAGATTTTCAAGTTGGGGAAACAGCTCATTGAAGAATTTAGAGACTTTTAAAAAGACTATTTTAAAGTTGACTTAATACCAGTATATAAATTTACCATAATCCCCTCCCCCATCTCCAAGGGTATACTTGAGTGTCTTATTTTTAAGTGGTGAGAGGAGGATACTTTGACATCAAAACTATCCATTAGACACAACTACATTTAGAAGGAAAACCTAAATTTATTTTCTCCTTAAATCCTTAGGAGGGAAAATGGCATTCACTCATTTGTAAAGATTTGGGGGCTTGAGGAGATGTTAGGCTTATACAGAGAAAACAATCCTTCTGAAATTTTGAACTATCTTCCATTTTTAAATGCTTGTTTGCTACATACAGTTTTAGCTTATTTTTCTAGTATGGCTGGCACTGAAAAAGCAATAATAAATTATTAAACTGAAATCATTAACTGACTGTTCACAGCAGACACTGTACTCTGCTAATTGTATGCTTGTAGGTAGCACAGAGGGAGGCTGTTTCAGAATTCTTCTTTAATTAAAATTACATAGAATTACAAAGCACCAACTGTGAACAGTAATGAAATCTTGGTAGAATCATTCTGTTCACCTGGAAAACAATACAGGGACACACTGAGAAGACTTGCCACATTTTATACCTAATAACAGAATGAAGTGGACATTGTCAGGAAACACTGAAAATATGACAATACATCCTAGGAGATATTTTGAGTGGTATCTTTTTATTTTTCTTTGAAAATTAGACTTGAAAGAATTACTGATAGTTTGGACTGATTCTAATTTCCAATTTTTCTTTTCAAATTTCTCCAAGATTTCAGCCTTGTCTAAGAACTTAATATACCAAGCAGTTCTTTCCTAGAAAGTTATATATAATTCTAACCTTGTGTTCTGAACAGTATTTCTTTTTGTTTGAAGTAATCCGGAAGCTAATAGTATATGGGATGCTAATTATCAAAATACGTAAAATCCTTACATATAACAACCCTTAAAATTGCTAATAAAGTTTGGAAAGATGCCATATTTCTATTACAGGACAATTGGAGTTCTATGATAGTGTTTTATCACAGAGGTCTATCCTAGACTTTATTTTCTTCATAGTATACAGGTTTTTTTGATGTAAATATAAATAGTAAATAGTTTAAATATAATAATATAATAATAAGTATAACTAATTTAAATTATACCTATCTTTACTTTGATTTAAAAAAAAAACAGAATCTTTATAAACTAATATATCAGACAGCCTACTACTGAATACCATCTGTTAATGCCATCATTTTAATAAAATTTTAAGGAACCATTATGTCTTTGGTGCAAATGTATTAGATGTACTTTAGTAATTTGTGATGAATTTATTAGAGCCAGTTATCCCTCTAAATCTTGTCTCATATTTTTCTCTATAAAGAAGGTGGATTTCACCTAACATTTCTGACTTTGCCTAAGTAGCTGCTACTGACTTTACTAAAATTAAAACCACTCTCAGAGACTAAAACACTAGTTCAGCAACAGTAAAAATATAAATGTTCATAAAACATGTTTATATTTTCTGTTATGTGCATTTTTTTAGGCTTTGCCGTGCATATGCCATGCATGTGCCACTATACTGATGATTATTTTCCTTCTAAATTTTTTAGGGTAAGAAAGTATTTAAGTTTTTCAAGTTAAAAAAGTAATAGACTTGGAATGTCAGTAGATATCTCTATTTAAAATTTTTTGCTAAAATGGATAGCAATCTTATCATCATTTTATTTTAAATAGCTCTTGTAAAAGGTTAATAAATTGTATTTTTTATTATGTTATGTTAACCACCATACATTACATCACTAGTTTTTGATGGAGTGTTCCATGATTCATTGTTTACATATAACACCCAGTGCTCCATTCAGTATGTGCCCTCTTTAAAACCCATCACCAGGCTAACCCATCCCCTCCTCTCTAAAACCCTCTGTTTCTCAGAGTCCATAGTCTCTCATGGTTCGTCTCTATTTTAAATTTTAGTAACTATTTTGTCTTTCCGATAAACCAAAATTTTAAGCCAATGTAGCAAGTGTCAATAGATCTATAGCAATTAATGAGGATTTATTTGTGGCTGACACCAGGGTTTGAAAATCACAATTCCCTTTAATTGTCCTAATGAATAAGTATTAGTCACATAACTCCATAAATATGCTTACTGGTTTCCTTCTCTTAAAAAAACTCATTAAGTTCTTAACTGCCCATAATTTAGAGGTGTTGGCATTTTACAGTTTTTAAATTGTAGGGTATTGTCTTAATTAATTTTTCTCTGATATATTTCAAGAGATTTCAAGATATTTTTGTGTCCTGCTTTACTAATTCTACCAACCTCAGATACCAACCTCATTCCAAACCAGCAAAAGAATCTAGAAGTGTTGGCTAAATACAATTTTTAGTTAAATAAATAAATAAGTAAAATAAAAATCTATAAGAGCAGTTTTAAAAGGCTCTATTTAGAATATAAAATTGCACCTGAATATTGAAATATTAATATTAAGGTATTCTTAGCACAATTAAAAACATTTAAATATCTCTTAAATCCCCAAAATAAATTGGTAGAAATCTAGGGTGTTGCTTTGACCCATTTTTATCACTTCAGATTAGTCTTTTTGCAACTATGGAAATAACCTAAGAAATATGTAGTCTTTTGATTATTATAAAACACAACTGAAAAGTGATACAATTGTGTCTGGCCTAAAGTTGGCAAAAGAATAACTGACAGTAAAGACACAAAGTAGAATTAGAAGTAATGAATAGTGTCTACTAAGAAACCTTGGGTTAGTTAAGTGAATGAAGGGCACACCCCAGTCAATGAGTCTGGTAGCCTCTCAATGCAGTAGCTGAGATAGGGACCTGGAAATCAAGTAAAAGATTTGGGTTATCAGTGAATAATGAAGATTAAGTAACTTGACTTTTGACTAAAGTAAAAGGAGTAATTTATCAAGTAGTTTATATTTGTTTTATGTCTAGTGATGTTGATTCATAATTTGGAACAAATTAAATATGAAAATTGGCCTTGGTTTTTATTCACACTCTCATGTCTACAAAATAATTGTAAAAGGAATTGAATAGAAGATGTTCAGACTTTCCTACAAAGGTTTTTTTATCCTGAGGAATATTTGAATTTATCTTTCTTGTCTTTGCTGTCTAAACAATTATCCAAAACTACAGCACAGAGGAATGGACTCAACTTGAATTGATTGCTCTTACATTTTACACTCTGAGCATTTAAAAATATTTATTGATTTGATAAGTCTTGTGACTGACTGACTTAGTACTTAACCTGACAATTTAAACAGGGGTTTAGAACATTTTTAATGGCTATTTAAAAAATGTTAAATGTGTTTTGAAAGAGGTCTGTAAAATAGATTCACATTTACAGGGCTTAGCTCATTATGGTGGCTCAGAGGTATTTTTGTAAATATGTAAATGTCTTACTTGATGTTATTTATCAAAAGAAAAGAAGTACATTAAATCAGCAAAGTATTTTTTAAATAGGAAAATTATGTATACTAACCTTGTGAGTACTTTCAGAAAATTTAGAGCTTACAAAGCTACACACTAAGAAGTCCTCTATACTTAAGTATTATTTAGATAACAAATGTCTAGGAGTTAAGGATTTTCAGAGGGCTCAGCAAATCCCAAAGCCCCTAAGTGGAAGCAGTCTTACAGCTGTGAGAACAAAGTCAATAAATGTCTTGAATGTTTGAAAACTTCTGATTTCCAACAATGTTTTTAAAAAACACAATTTGCATTTTGATATTATAAGTTTATTTTTAGCTATTTAGCATTCAAAATGATAACTGTTGGACAGCTATAATGATGTATTTCAAATATTAATGACTGCTTTGTGTTTAATCTTTAATTCACCGTTGGGGTTCATGATAAACATATTTTTAATCAGAGATCATAAAATTCATTTAATCAAAATAATTCTTAAGTGTTATAAAATATTAAAACACAAAATAATTTTTAAGCTTTCAACACTTCACCTCTATAATTTAATTTTCTACTGTGAAGTAATTTATTAAATAAATATCTCAATGAAAATAATTCAAGTTGTTTAGTAAGGATATATTCATTCACAGTTGTAACTCATATAACTAGCATTTCTGCTGACCTGCTAGTAGGTTATTTTATTTTGGAAAACCATTCATACTGTATTATTAATATCTCTATGAGATTTAATTTCTAGGGCTCTGGGAGTTACTTTTAAACTTGGGATAACATTAGTCACTTCTTGAAGACTCATAACTAGGGTAGCATTAAAAAAAAAAAGTCTTAATTGGAACCAAGGTGAACTGAAAATATCAACAGGCCCCTCTGGATACTGCACCTAACACCAGGTAAAGGTACACAATGGAATGAGAAATGTCAAATCAATCTAGCAAGTACTTACATGTACAGAGTGTATCAGAATTGTATTTCATAAGAAAGTTAGAAAGAGAAAACAATTTTGGTATTAGCGAAGTAGGAAATATTTTATTGCTTGTAGTTCGCAATGGTTTGAAAATCAGAACACTTCCATTCACCGGGCTCGAAATTATGTGCCTTTGAAATGAAAAGATACCCATCAAATCTGCCTGGACTACTGAAGTGATTGCACAGTTTACTGCAGTTATCTAAATAGACAGAATTCCTTTCTTATCTATACAATCGAATTTATTTATGCAGTATTTAGGCAAATCAATAGAAAACAGTATTTTTGTCATATAAATTATATTGCTCAAGAAACACTTTATATCAGCTTTTAGTTGTCCTTCATTTTATTGGGTATGGGGTTCTTTTTAAACAAATATCAAAGGTAAAAATAAAACACATTTTGATATTGGGTAAAATACATAGATTAGAAAACATGCAAAATGGGTACAGAGAGACTACAGGGGGAGAGATTGTTAGTTCAAAGAATATGGACAAATTTCAGTCAAAACATGGGATGAAACATATCAAAAGTAGTTCAAGAAAACAAAAAAAAAAAAATGCCCCTCTTTCTAAAACATTTTAATGGTTGGCATCAAAATGTAAACCTTAACATTCATTTTTTTTTAAAAATTAAAAATGTATATTTATGTGTAACAACAAGCAAGAAGACAAAACACATCAAAAACGGGAATTTAAAAACAACTCTTCAAAAAAAGACAAGAAGTAAAAAAATAGAAAGGGGTGGAAAAAGTGATTGAGGCCCTTGTCATGCAAATAGATTTGGTGGAAAAAAAATACCTTCATCTTCAGCACCGTCATTATCACCTAAATCATCTGTCTGTTTCTTTGTAAGGGGACCTAGGATTGAGAACGGAGAAACGGAGGGAAAAAAAAAAGACAATTCAAGAATAAACAAGACTGAGGGGAAAAAATAAATGTAAATACTAAAATTCTCAAGGGTATTTCCAAAAAGAGCAGGGAAGTGGTTAAGTCAAAGTTGATTATCTGTTTTGTTTAAGAAAAAAAGAATCCCTCTCCCCAAAATATCTTATAGAGGATTTGGTTTGTGAATATATCCAGCATAAAAAATACATTATGGTTTGAAACTCAAGTCATAAGCAAAGGAAATGATTTTTTTTTTAAATATCCACTGCATACAAAAAAGTAAACAGTTTTAGCTGAAAGAACTTAATTTATTCAGTGTCTTTTCTAATTTGAATTGGTGACAACAACAAAGAAAGTAGGCCAAACTCATCTTTAATTTGGGACAATAAAATAACATTAGGGAAAACAGAGATATGAACATTTTCAGGGTGTTTTTTTTCTTTTTTTCTCCTAATTTTTTGTAAGAGCATTAACACTTGGATTTTACACATTTTTATATCATACATTTTCCAAAACTGTGACTTTTTAAAATTACTTGTCATTAAACAAATATTTCCCCATGTGTTTTAATTAAATATTAGCTGCGGATTTAGGACGTTTGCAACATGCACAAAAGTATGAACAGATAATCTCATCACTATGTAGAGCAAAGGTACCATCAATAGAAGTCAGTGTTTGGTTATTAAGTTAGTTACAGAGTCAGGGCTTACATTTCATAAGCAATTTAGTAATATAACAGAATTATGCCCTCTTGCAATTTCATGTCCAGTATAGTTATTTATAAGGGAATCATGTTTTAGGATAATAATTGTATTAAAACGCTGTGAATGTTTAATAAATGTTTTATTATACTTAACAATACTAATTTGCTAGAATAAAGAAGCACACCAAAGGGGAAGTCAAAGGCCATTTGAAAGTAATTTTAAGTGTCACATAATTGACATATTCAGCACACAAAAAAGCAAGTAAAGCCCCACGTTGCTTTTCGTTTTCACAACCATTTAATTTGTATGACATTTCATAATCCTCATGCAAAAAGCATTCATTACAAACACATGACACTCAAGTTAAAAGACAGCCAAACACAGCAGTAAGCAAGAGAATTTTGTCATGCATAAAATAACAGTCACAGAAAAAGGAAGGGAAAAAAAAGACTGAAAGTCATGTATTGATTTCAATAACATAAATAGAAAAGAAGCAGGCATTAACTGCAAGCACACTTCGTAGGGAAGGACTGTTCAACATTTCAAGAAAGACTTCTGAGTCTTTTCAGTGATTACTGTGCATTATGTTTGTAATTCAAACTATACCTATTATCAGAACCCTCAAAGAATGAAAAACACCGTCCCAGAAAATGGAAGGGAGAAAAAAGAGATATAATCCAGTTATGTTTCATCAGCTCAGAGAAACAGCCTTGAAAAATAGTAGTAACTGGCACGGATCAAAAGATTGGAAATGGAGAAATTAATGAAACTGAAGGGACCCCTTGACTATTCAGTTGTAAGGTCATGGTTTCAAGGTCATTCCAAATATAGACAGAGGAGCTGTACACAATAAATTTAGTGATATACTGTTATAGTCACTCTTGTAAGCAATCATTCCTTTAAGAGAAAACCTAGATGAAAACAAGTCTATGTTAATTGACACTCAGTTACAAGTTCACAGAATTCTACATTTCTTTGATATGACCCTGCTAGTGCAAAAAATACCCTCAATGTTTTTGGATGTCCATGCAACAATGTTGCTACATTTCTGAAAAATAGAGATAGTTCATATTTAAATTCAAAAATTGCTGTATCAAAAACTGTATTTGAAATATTTCCAGTTTTAAAACATCACGCAAAATATTACGCTTGGAAAATTATGTTTTCAAGCTTTTTATTTTTCTTTAACTACCTTAAGCAGTAAATGAACAGACTTCAACCAATATAATTTCTTGCATTTCTATTTTCAAGGATGCTATATAGAAATTATAGTTTGATTTACTAATAGGCAACACAGATTAAGTGCAGTGGTTGTTATTTATTGCCACCCAAACCATTATCTACTTTCCAATTTTAATTAAATTACTTAATTTGCTTAATTCTTGGCTCTATTAAGAAACCACTAGCATGAGTTCAAATTTTTTTTTTTTTTTTTGCTGAATCATCAGTTCACTAACATTTGGAGACACATGTAAAACACAATTAAACTAAGTCACTCTCCTTACATTGTTCAGGCCTCTTTTCAACAATTCAGATGAAGTGTTTTTCTTTCCTGTATTAGAATCCCAGAGGCAATTTACAGGACTTCTTCAGGAAATCATTCAGGTTCTACAGTTGCCTAGCCAATAGTTTTACATACTTTGCACACACACAGAATTGCTGGTTCTTGGGGCTCCTGAGTGGCGCTGTTGGTTAAGCAACCCACTCTGGGTTTGGGCTCAGGCCCGCCATGGGGTCTGCACTCAGCCTAGAGTCTGCTTAAGACTTTCTATCCCTCTCCCGCCTGACCCTCCCCCCTCAAATAAATAAATAGATCTTAGAAAAAAAAAAAAAAGAATTGCTGGTTCTTGGGTCTGCATAAGATGTGATAGTAAAAGAATTTTTATGAAAACATGATCTGTCACTTGTTTGCATGTGGGACATAGTTCTCAGTTGCTATTTGACTCTGGGTCTGTATAAGTAGGGAAGTCATGAAAATGATACTGCATATACCATGAGATGACTTTTCCATGGATAATATGGTTGAACAACCTTTTTGGCTGCAGTTTTATCACCTTCCCTACTCAGGAAGCTGTATGCCTCTTAACTGATGTGGGATCATGATTACATACATGCACTAGATGGAACATCTTTTACTGTAGTAAATCTGAACAGTTAAAAACAGATACAGATATTCAGCATCATAAATAGATAGGGACATCATTATCTTAGAAAAAGATTAAGTCAAATTCTCCCAACTAAAAAAGTTCACTTACTGAATAGTAAATAAAAACTATTATTGTATGATATTAAATTGTTCCCACAGTATGGGTTCCAGCAATATTTTCATAATTCCAGAATAACTGAATTTTCTTAACATCAAGAATTGTTTACTTGTCTGATTTTTTGAAGGTTCCCTGGGAAGAAGAGGGGTGATAACAGTTTTTGGCGAAAATGGTTATAAAAAGAAAACAAAAACCCAGATTTCCTTTATCTCATATGCCTAAAGCCACAGGAAACAAATATCTGAGAGGATCCGGCATTGCAAATTGAAAAACTCAACACTGGTTTCTCTCAGGAGGCCTCAAATAGAGTAAACATATGCTTGTGGATTACAGAAACAGATCCCTACATGATCTCAAGATTCCTTATTCCCAGGCTGGAAGGAAAATAGCCTGTTGCCCTGAGCTTCCTTCTTTCTAGAAAATCAGCAACTCTGGCTCATTTTTAGTTTATTCTAAACTGACATAATTTGACATAATAACTGATGTTAAAGTTTTTTTAGTTGAAAGAAAATATGGTAAGAGGTGATCGTCATTAATTTTCTTATGAAAATCAGACAACCACATTTTAGAGACCACGGATTTCCTGTAAATTGATCAACATTATTTCCCCAAAGGGTAAAATATTTATCCTTCAACAAAAATACACAGCAATCATTAACAACATTCCAACCATAGCTTATGCTTCCTTTAAACTACAAACAGTGCATTTTCAATACCAGCAGTTTAAATGGGTATCTTAAACACCAAAATATAAAGCGAATGAGTCCTCTAAAACCTGGAGAAGTGATTTATTCTACCTTGAAACTATGGGACCTGTCCTCCTTGAGGAATGCACACATAACTCTCATTAGAGTTAATAGGAAAGTGGACCTCATGTCATTTTGAAAGGAAGTGAGAGTAATTACTATATTTTATATCTCCTATAGGCAATAAATAGATTCAGAGGTGAAACAACAGGACTAGGAAGGTAAAGGGAATTCCTAACTATGAAGGTAAAGGGAACTCCTAACCATGAACTTTGAACTCATTTAAATCTCAAATAGTTTCTATGATGTCAATATAAGCGTAATTCAAAGTGTTGGCCTTTACAAAGGACTTATGCAGTCTTATATTTTAGGATCTGACCACAGTGCCTTTTATTTTTTAAAAAAGGAATAAAAATATCAGCATTTCTCTGTAGTTAACTGGAGAATAATTACAAGGCCCTGAAATAATTACTATCCACCCATATTAACGCTCCTTTTTATCATTCTCTTTGATGAAGGGCTAATATACTTTAGGTCTCAAATACATTAGAACTGATTATAAATTCCTTCATTACGGGTTCAATTCAGCAGAAATTATCAGTACTTTGTGTCACACATATCTGCAAAAGGCAAGCAGGTTGAGGGTATTATTAGCTCCTGATTTAGAAAGCTGGCCATGAGAAATGTGTCCTTCTTAAGAGAGCAAGTCTTTGAAAATTTTAGGATTATTTAGAGCTCCAGGCTCCTGTAAGTTCCATTGTGATACATTCCTGGCTAATGACCTTGCTCTATTCTTTCCCCACCTGATTTTAGAGGTAAACTGACTCCATGGAATTCCTAAGGCTATTTCTACGCTTTATGTGGAAATATAAGGATGTTGCCACTTGTTATGGGGCAACTGGAAGTTGTTTAAATCTTTTCAGGAATGTTCTTAGTCTTTATAAAACTAGAATCAAGGATGTAAAAATCTAATTATGTCTGTTCTGTATGGGAGACAATGCTGGAATTCAGTACATTACAAATAAAAATAGCAGTATGTTACTGTATTTGATTTTTTCCAAATTGATAAACATTAACATACAATGACTTAAAGAAATCAGATATCATGACAGTTGGTGTCATTGCAAAGGTAGTAAATTTTACCTATTGAAATTTAGTGAATTTTATATAACTAAAATACACAACTCTTGAGAATACAGAAATGAATGAAAGCAATTGATTTGGAATAATGCTTATTAATTTGATATTACTCTATTAAC